ATATATATATATATATTTCACTCAATAAGAGCTTTAAATTGTTAATTGCTTAAGTATAATTAGGTATATTCATAAAAATAATAAGCATTAGAAAATCGAATAGATTATTAATTGATCTCATTCTTATCTCCTTCAACTAGTACAGAAGTTCTATAGTCGTAGAAAATATTTTTCGTAGAAATGGTAATATATTAATACAATCATATAAATTAAGACAAATTTATCCACACTTTAATTTAAACAAGTGAAAAGTGAATTACGAAGAATTATCCAAAAAGAAGTTCTGATAGAAAATGATCATGTGCTTAGCTTTTATTAAAGTTTTGAAAGAATTCTGATTGTTTTGAATATTTCTGCTTCAGTCCACAGCTGTTGGAAAAATAATTCCCGAAAAAACTCAAAAATTTGAAAGTGCAACTCTATATGATTAATTTTTTTCTTTTCTAGCTTATAGATTTCAACAAATTGGTTTTCAAGTACTTGCATACAATAAAATCCTCTGAAAAATTATAACAGCTCAGAAGGGGCAAAAAAGAGTTTTGTAAACTAAATAAGTGATTGAAAACAATAATTATTGAGACTTCATAAAAAAGCGAAAGGCAGTTAGCTACTTAATAAAACGACAATACCATATTTGAATTTTCCGCTGAAATCTTTGCCACGTGACCTAATCCCGGCATGTTGAAATAAAACAAAAACAATGTTCACATAAATTCATCTTTAAAGTAGAAAATATTCAAAAAAAAGCTATTCAGAAAAATTTTGATGTAGTTATTTTTCTTTGTTATACTTTTTCAGGCTTTGAAATAAAGTTTTATGAGTTATTTTATTATCTCAAATACGATTCCCCGTAAGCGGTGGTGTTGTTTGAAAACGAAAAATGAGGGAAATATAATTGTGTCTCATATTATTTGGAGGTGATATGAATATTTTGAGATAAACAATAATTTTTATTTCACCTAATTTTATAATTTTTTTGACCTGTAAAATGCATTGTTATTTCCTACTGCAAAATATATTTAGACACAGATGCAGGCTTAATCTGCAACATTTTCCTAGTGCCACCTATCGGCAACGATCGATACTATGGTTTTTGGAGAAAACCACCAGGAGGCAGAGGAAGACGAGAAGGCGTGGTTATCAATAGTAGGCGAGGCTCGATATTTGATTGACAGTTATGAACCATCCTTCAAGACGCGCCCACTCAAAAGGCATTTCTACTAATGTGAGTTTTTCGTGCGTTTAAACTACAGAAGATTTATGATGTATATTTGGTTGGCGTGGAGTCAAAATTTTCATTATCACTTCAATAATGCTTTAGATGCAGTTTTTTTAATTTTAATTAAATTTTCTAATGTTTTGTTTTATCAAAAGAAAAAAAATCGAGCATGATAAATTTGTATTCTTATCAGAAAAACAATTTATAACTAACTGCTATTGTTAGAATGCTTATGCAGATAATTTTTTTGTTTCGTTTTTTTACTCCATATTGGGTTCAAAATACTTATATAACAATTGTATATATGCCTATGAATAGAATATTATGTGATTAGAATACAATTTAGCTCAAATACGGCTTAAAGCTTTGCTTTCTAATTATTTTGAAATATTGATAATAAAATAACAATACTGTATTTTTTTAAAGAAAATATTGTTTCAATCTAGTTATGCTTACAATATTTTATTCATACATTTTTATTCTATAATCTTTTTACAACACTATTAATTTAACATTATTGTCCATGAAAAAAAAAACTATTTGACTAGAATTTGAAATAGATAGCAGGTCTTCCAGCAGTCCGTCAAAATCATTCAAATAATAATAAACTCGCCATTAACATCAATGAAAAACTACTTCAATTAGCAGTCACATAAATTTAAGTAAGGTGTTGTCAAGTCAAGTCTTATGTCTGTTGTTTAAGTAAAATGCTTACTATGTTGTCAAATCATTGTGAAGAAATACATTTTATAACTTTCTAAAAAGAAATAGTACATTTCATGATATAAAATTTGCTATCATTTTGATTATGTTGGTGAGCCACTAAGAGCTTGAAAATAATTCATCTTGAAATTTTGTTCTTTAATTATTATTATTTTTTAAAAAAAAAGCTATACTTGCTATGTCTTACATATTCGCATTCGGCATTACATATTTGCATGGTTCGGCATTCTTTTTACAATACTCCTCATTTTTAGAAAACATAATTGCATTTGAAAAATAATATTATTTGATTTAGAGTTTAAAATAAATCAGGCCTGAGGTTTTATTTTGAATTTCTATTCATCTTATAATTTCTAACATTTTGTATTAGAGTGTACATAGACTATTCTTACAGAATTTGTCTAAAAGTGTATTAAATTTAAATAGAAATAAATCCTAATAAAATGAGTAATGCAAAATGAAATCGAATGTGTTATCTTAAAAGCACCATTTATAGCTCGTATAAAATTTGGAGGAAAAAAAAGTAGAGTAAAAAGTTATTCAAAATTTAAACTAAGACACATTTAGTTTATAATTATTTTGAAAAAATAAAATCATTGAAAATACTACTTCAACATATTTCTTTTTCAGCGAACTCAAAGGGATTAAAAATCTCTCTTTTTTATCAGAAAATAATTCCTAATATTTAAAACTATTACTTTTTACTTTCTTATTGGTTTTATTGATACAATATACATTTGCAGGCTTGTGTGCTCAATTGAGGCTTATAAACCTTTAAAGCCATTAGCAAGAACTAGAATTCGATTATTTCAAAAACAGGTTTGTTTTTAAAAGCATTTGGTTACTTGTTAAAAGTGCTTAGCTGATATACGAAAAGGCACACTAAAAAAATAAAGCGTTCGTAAACATGAAATATGTTAAGTTTCAATGTTGGACAGGCTCTTCAACGAAGAAATTCCTATAAACAAAATTATCACTTCATCCAAATTTAATGCTTTTTTCCAAAATCTCAGTTACCATTTTGTATATTTCATGCAATTTAAAAGCTGTATAAAAACCAAGCATGCCTGAATGTTTTTCTTTTAATTTTATGTGTTTTTGAGAGATTAGGTGGCTGTTATTAAAGTTTCCAGGTCTTCCGAACGTCAGCCAAATAGTTTAAAGTCATAACAAAATCTGCATCCTAAAAGATGTTTCTTGCTTTTTAAAATTTATCCAAATATGTACCAGACCACCACAATAGTTCAGAAAATCTTTACATATAAAAATAAATCTGATAAGCGAGCCAAGAAATTTATGTAAATTTAGGTAGTTCCAAACTTAGAAAGTATTTTGATTATTAGTTTACTACCCTTATTTTTGGCCGACCTTTCGGAACCCTGAGTACCTCATTCTCAGTGAGAGGTTTTTCAGAAAAATTTAATTTAATGTATCTCAAAAACCGAAAATTTTAAGTTCGTTAACAAAAAATAACCGAAAATGACGAATTTAAAAAAATGGAAGACTTGGAATTACAACTTTCATGATTACAGAGTCAAATATAAATATTTATATTATTAATATATTGTCGTTGATGGAACTACTTTGTTTATGCAAAATAAATACGAATAATGAGAAATTTGTCAATTTTTTACAGTCTTTTAAGAAGACGCTAGGCACAAATTAGTTTATAAGCTTGACAAAATTAGAGACAATGAATTATAAGAAAAAGTTAAGATTCTGTTAGCTGATCTTAAGAAAATAATTTAAACTATTTATTTTCACAAAGAGGTTACAGTTCGAATCATAAATACATTAATGCATTACGGTGCGTAGGACTGTTTCATTCATTTTATATAAACGCTGATAATGAAGTAATTCTGTTTTTGCCATTTATCTTTTCGTGAGAAAAAAGAAACTTCCTAAGACTATAATGCTGGGAACTAACTGTTTTATGAGCTAGAATTAATTAGACATTTCCCTGGCTACCAAACAATTGCTCATTCAGATAAGGTTTTTGTTTGTAGCGGTAAAAATTCAAATGCTAAAATGAAAATTTTGCTACATTCTTAAAGGCAAATGAAAAAATTGCAGATTGAAGGAAAATAGCAATATTTTATACGGGTATGTAAAACATGCCATAGTACAAATGATGTATAAACAGGAAAGAAAATTTCTCTTAAAATTAACGTGCTGTATAGTTATGATATTTTTGGTAAGAAAATTCCATAATTTCGGTAATAAAGCCAAAATATCTGTATTTATAAACCATTCATATATTAATTTTTCGATTCATACGGTGACGATTTACCGGAAATTTTGAAATTATATTTCTTATTACAACATATTTTGTAAGAAAAGAAAAGTAAATTTAACCGAATAAATAGTTTTTATATCAAACTCTAAGATATCACGATAAAATTACAAAATTTAGTCATGTTTATTAATTTTTTTTACATATTATAACACTATATTTTATGATTAATATAACCAAAATTATTAATAAAGTGCTTTCCGGGCTTTTTGGTGTTCCCATAGTGCCAGGGATGCGGTAAATTTAATCATTTTCTCCTCGTTTTGACCATACTTTTTTCGCACAAATGATTTTTATTTGTCGGCATTTGTTTTAGTACTAAAAGCTTAATCAGAGTTGCTTAATGCTTAATTCTGGAAAGTTTTGACATAGCTGAAATTCATTTGAATTTTAATTGCAATAAAGTTTTAACTAAATATACAAATAATGTTGAAGAGACTCGGGTAAATATGTATTTTGAATTCTTGGGTTTTAGGTAAAGGAATGTCCCCTCCCACAGATACTATTTCAAAATTTGCCATAAATGACACTTTTAAAAATTTTATTTCATGTTTTGAAGTAAATAGTTATGATATTATGGATAATTTAAGTCATGAATAGCAATATTTTTGTGAAGCAATGATGCGAAAGATACTATCATATGAAATAATTGTTAGCACACTGATGTTTAAATAAAATGCTTTCCTACATTAGCCATCACTTAAATTTAGTAAAGATTCGCATTCATGATTTCTGATCAAAGTTAGTATACTACTATAAATAATTTATCTATTTATATTTCTGATACATTTGCTGTCGATGTAAAGGTTTGTTTCTTCAAAATAAAAACTAATAATAAAATAATTGTGGTATTTTCCCCCTTTTGATAGAAACTGTCATAACTGTCAACATACGAGAACGCTTGGCGCTAACGAGTTAGGTTTAAATTTCGAAAGCAAAGAATAAATGTTATGCATTACATAAAAAATTGCTTTTAGTTAAATAATGATTTTTGCTATATTATTTATTACTATGTTTTCGTTTCAATTTTTAAAGCAAAAATTAAATGCTCTTTAATATTATCTAAAACGAAAGTTTTAGTATAAATATTTTTGCTATGTTATTTGTTATTTTGATATTTTTAATCGCATAAAAATTAATTTATGAACAAAATGTAACGATTTTTGTTATAAAAAATTTATTAGAATAATTGAAATTCATACTGGGATTATGTGTGTTAGTTGTTATTTTATTCATTGAATATCCACATCAATTTTTATACTATTTTCAACTTTTTTCTGTAACTGTCATTGGATACAGTAATGTTGTTGTTTTTTGCTTCAAAATTATAATCGTTTCGGACATAAAGATTCAGTTGTCAATAATTTAAAGAAAAACAAATAAATATTTTTAATCCTATGTTGCCTTACAGTTAATTATTCAAGAATTTCATGTATAAAAAAGCTAATATTTTGAGTTTTCGATTCATGTAGCGGCAGCAAATGTATTTTTCAATCTCCTTATCACTAAGCGGTTGTAAGATTTTTATCTTCCGTCGTCAGTCATTTCTTCAGAATTTAGACGGGCTAGGCTTAACTGAGTTAGCCGTTAATGTTTACGATGTAAAAGCAGTTAAGTTAAAATGACTTATCTTAAAAGATAAATTTTTGTTCAACAAATACGCTGTTAAAAAAGAAAAAAGAGAAAGTCGTAAAGTGTTAATTCATTTATTTTTTTCCAGAAAACATTAAATCAAATTTAGATAATGAGTTTCGTGATAAGTTTTGATGGATGATTACGAATCCCATTCATAAAAACGCAGAAAGGCTTAACTGATGTTTGTTTTTCTTATTGTTTCCATTAAATGGTACTTAAAATAGATATATATAATTCTTCGCACATTAGTGGTTGAAGTTTTGTTTTAAAAAGCTACGATTAAACCCGCCATTGCAAACTTTATTTTTATACTAAACATTCCTGGAAGATATTGGGTATATGGGATGTGGTTGCAGAAGTATTGTAAGTGATTTTGTACATTTATGTTTGTTGCATGAAATTGTATTTGAATTATTATTTTAAAAGGTGTATCAAGAGTAATTTTTGAAGTAAAAATTGTATTTTGATTTATATTTATGCTTCCTAATCCTATTTTCATTTGAATTGAACTAAGCATTTTTTCATTGTTTTTAGCCAGTTTACATGTATCTCTTAGTTATGTTTCACTTGGTATTGATGTTTTTCATTATTAAAAAGGGTGACACATAAATTTAACATATAGTTATGTATTCATTCTTTATGTAATATAATGTTTCAAATTGCATCATTTTTTTACTTTTCTTGAATTGTTATGAATTTCAATTGCAATTTTTTTCTTATTTTTATTTGATTAAACTGTACAAATTTATTTTGACTTCATCGAATAATAATGATGGTAATTTATGTTGATTTACATATTTATTTTTGAAGTAATTTTTAATTGATATTTGTTCCTATTTCCTAATTTTTCCTTTCAATAAAGATTTTTCGTTTTTTTATTGAGCTTGAACTTATTATTATAATGATTATTTGTTCAATTTATATTTTTACCTATTTTTTTATGAAATAAACTGTTATAATATGCTGTTTGGCAATTTCATATAACATGATTGTCTCTACTTATGATAGTGTTACAAATTCTGTTAAAGATAAATAATTTAGATCACTGAATCTATAACCTATATAATTATTAGTTTAATTTAGGTTGTTACGGATTTTTCTAAGAAAAAACATAATGAATTAAAAATATGATGTTATTTGGCTTCCGTTGATAGTAGATCCAATTTTCTGTTATTGTAGTTTTACAAATGATAGATCATTTAAATTATTGAACCTATCATTTCAAGATTTATTTGTTTAATTTATAGTCCAACTCATTTTTCGATTAATAAAACTATATGAATTTAAATTAGCAAATGTTTGATAACCAGAAAGGCTTTTGTTAGTGGAAGATCTAATCCTATTAACGTTATATTTTCTGATATTTTAGTTCTATAAATGATCAATCATTTAAATTATCGAACCTATAATTTAAAGGCTTATTTAACTTATACTTTAATTCATTTCTATGCTAATAAAACTATATGAATTAAAATAAGCAAATGTTTGATAACAGAAAGGTTTTCGTTAGTGGTAGATCCAATTCTATTTACGTTATACTTTCTGATATTGTAGTGCTATATATTATTGACCATTCAACTCATTGAGTCTATCTTTTAAAGATTTATTAGCTTAACTTATTGTTGTAACTCATTTTTTTTATTAAAAAAAACATTATGAAACTAAAATAGGTAATTGACAGGTATAGGCTATCATTGATGGGTTTATTTAGATTTCAATAACTTACATACATAGTTACAAAATCTAGTAATTATATCTATTTACAGGAATGAAAATTACTCTTATTTAGAATTCAATAATATACTGATATATTTGCTAAATCTATTAATGAAATGTCTATTTAAGCGATAGAAAATTATTATTTCTTTCAATTTCATTAGTTTATTGCTATTATTACTTGTTCTATTAATGATAGGGTTATTAAAATAAAGAAAATTACTTTTATTTAGAGTTCAATAGTGTCAAAATTAATTAAATGCCCATTTTAACTTTTAACATTTATGACATTTTTTGATGAGACATATGTAATAAATATATAGTTTTTTGTTAGGATATTATAGAAAAATATTCCCGAGTATTGATTTGCTTTCAATTTTAATATTTCATTTGTTAATAACTTATACATTTTGTTTTACTGTGCCGATACAAATAAATGTTTATTCCACTAATGTTCAAACATTATAATTTTCAACCAGCATATTAATATATGCTGGTTGAAAATGATAATGCATCCAAACACACTTATTTTTTTTAAAATAGATTTTATAATATGTCTCACTTTTTCCTTAAAAAAACACGATTTTCTAATGTTTTTTTCTTAGCTTTATTCCTTAAAAAAGCATGATTTTTTAATGTTCTTTTTTATTCTTTCAAAAATGTGAAGTATAGAAGAAATGATATATTTAATGAATATATTTTATATTGAGTATATTTTTATAATAAGGAAATAAATGTTAGTCTGAATACAATTTCTTATAAAATAAACTTTACTATCAGTTATTTTCTACAAGGTAGAACTGAACAAACCAATTTATATGTATGAAAAGCACAAAGGTGCAACAATTTCTTTTAAATTCATCATCATAATATTTCAGTTATTAAAACAAGAAAAACTGCTGCCGCTATCTTTCAGAAATAATTGGTTTACAGTTTTGAAACAGTTAAATTTATATTTTTTTTATAAATCTTAAATGCATTAAAAGTATTCCGCCCCATATTTTTTTCATTTAACTCAAAGGCTTTTTGTATCTGCAAAGCTGAGGAATAAGATTAAACTACATGTATACAGTTAGAAATGTTAACTTCTTTTTTTAAAAAAAAATGATAATAATAAGGCTTTCTTTTAGTAAATTATTTAATTATAAATTAAATTTTTAAATGTATTTGATATTTAAGCTATTAGCAATGGAATTAAGTTATATGAACTTAAAATTATTCTGCAATTTTTCCTAGAAATTGTCATATTTCATCGTCATGTATAACTTATTACATAATTTTGAAATTTTATACTACTTTGGTAGTTAAGAAATTCTTACATGCTTCCATTCGCTTTGAAACCGAATGAAAATTTCAGAAAGATTGCCAGACTATTCGTGAGTGACAGTGCTATATTTATATTTTATTATTATATAGAATAATAAAAAATAATTATTAATTATCTGAACCACTTGAAGTTTCTCATATTTAAAACATGTTGTGAAGAAAGTTTCAGCATAACATCATAGTTTATGTGCATTGCTATTTATGTATAAGCATTAGTTTTATCATAGCGCTTTTTAAGTAAAAACATTTGTTATATCATTATGTTATTTATGTAAAAACAATGTTTTACCAAAGTATTACTTATGAAAACATTAGTTATATCATAGTGTTATTTAAGTAAATACATTGTAATAGAATAGCGTTACTAATGAAAACATTAGTTATATCACAGTGCTTTTTATGTAAAAACATTTGTTATATCACAGTGCTTTTTATGTAAAAACATTTGTTATATCATTATGTTATTTAAGTAAAAGCAATGTTTTATTGAAGTATTACTTATGAAAACATTTGTTATATCATAGTGTCATTTGTGTAAAAACATTAGTTATATCACATTGTTATTTATGTAAAACTTGAGAAAGTTATATCATAGATTTATTTATGCGAAAATATTACTTATTTCATAGTGTTATTTATGTAATATTTTTTATTAAGAGAATAAATAAAAACTGTAAATTGTGACATATTTTCAATGCTTTTAATATTTATATGTATTAATTTATGAAATTGACATTTTGCGTAGCTTTGTTTGATAATTTAAAAAGCTTATAATTGAATTGCTATTACCTGGAAAAAAATTAAAAAGTGTTCTGAGACATCAAAGAGTAGCAAAAACATTTTACACTCATATATATTTTTTTTAAATTTTGGTAGATACGAATATTTTAAAACATATATATTTTAATACTACTTTAAATAAATTGCCCAGATCGTGACAATCCTATATAAGCAAACCATTTTATAAAATCAATGTTTCAAAGCAGAATTTTAAAAGCATTATAATTCATATTTTTAAAGAAATTAAAAAAAATAACTCGTACGTAAGGGTCTACGTCTATACTATAATTATAATTATTTCAGTAGACAAAAGAGAAACATGAAAACGTTGATATGTGTATGAATTTAGTGTTCGATCTATAATTACTACAGCTATTTTTTAAATCAAACTTATATTGATTTCTTTTATGGAAATATATATGAAATTTGCAATTCAAACTATGATTGAAGTAAAAATACAAACTTATAGCAAATTACAATGCATATATTTTAATTACCACACATTTAGAGAAAAATGCAAAACTGAACAGTAAATTTAACTGAATAAATGGTTTTTAGACCATGCTCTGAAGTATGATAATAAAATTATCAAATTTTACTACAGTTATCAAATTTTATGACACATTATAAAACCCTATTTTACTTTAAATTTTACCAAAATCATTACCAACGTTCATTGGTAAAAATTACTGAGCTTTTTGGTGCTCCCTTAAACCCAGAAGAAAGGTAATTTTTACGATATTCTAGCAGTTTTTACCATGCTTTTTTTTCGCATTGTGTAACTTGACTATGCTTCACTACACCAAATTAATAGGTAAATCCATTAATGCCAAACCGCAAATTTAGCTATAACGCAAAAAATTTTCTTCTAGAAGTTAGCTGTATATTACACAGTAATAATAACCAAAATAATAACAGTAAAAGAATACAAAATAGTTAATTCTAAATTGACAAAACATTCTTTGAAAGAAACCCGCTTAAGAGCAGCAGAATTTTCAAAAGAAAGAATAAATATAGCAATAAAGAAAACGAAAGAATTAAAAATATGACTACCGAAGCCGACGTCTTCAGGGGGTACCGGCCTCGGAAGCCATAAAACAAAACCTTTTCTATTGAGAGAGAGGCAAAATTAAATGCCAAAAGTAACTCTCTCGGTACCCCGAAGGTTTTGTATAAGTCCAGGAAAAAATACGTGAAATACATAAAACCAATTCAGAAAAGAAATTCAAACAAAAACTTGAGAAAATAAAAACTCAAATTAAACCGGTCAAACAGCGATTTCACAAGCAAACTATATGCAAAGGAAACACTTAAAACAAACGAAAACAACGCCCTCTATTAAAATGAGCAGATTGAAAAAAAGAGAAGTAAAAGAGAAGATTACGTAACAAATTAATATAATGCTTAACAGGGGCTGCTCAGTTAAGACTTGAATTGCGCCCTGTTAAAAGAAGTAAAAATCTAGTATTCTTCAATCATTTTCTNAACAAAAGAAAGCAACGCCCTCTATTAAAATGAGCAGATTGAAAAGAGGAGAAGTA